TTTCCCTACCTCCAGGCCCCCCCACTTTGAGCGCCCTCTTCCTGCTTTCATCAAAACTGGGCCGTTGGAGGAGTCTTGCTGAGGGAAGGACCCACCTACCCCTCTCTGTAGGACACTCCAGTGAGACTCTCAAGCTCCATTGTTTTCCTAGGACTCGCACTCCTGGGAGCCCATCCCTCACTGTTTCTCTGGACCCCACCTCTGGGTCATTCATCACAACCAGGCAGCTGCCTGAGTTCCCTTCACTGTCCCGCTTCGCGTGGTGGCTCCTGGCTTCCCCCCCTCCCCCGCAACTCAGGTGGGACGGGTAATACTTTATTTTTATTCCTTTTGACCGCGACCAGGGATTGAACCCGGGCTACGGCAGTGAAAGCGCCGAGCCCTAATCACTGGACCGCCAGGGAATTACTTGGAACGTCTAGCACTTTAAAAGAAACCAACAGTTTCCTTAATTTCTCTCTTTTCCAGACATACTTGAAATCTAACGCTATAACATTAAACCTCAGAGGGCTCTTAGAGGTCATTGGGTTCAAGCCACAGGTGGGGCAGCTCAGGCCTGGGTGGGGGAGGGGACTTGCCAAAGATGGCTCAGCGCCTGGTGGAGCCAGACGAACTCGCCAGGGTTCTTGACCCTTCCATCTGCAGTTCCCCACGCCATCTCCTGTAACTGCCAGAGGACATGGGCCATAGCCCCACGTTCTCCCACGTGTCCCAGCGCTGGTCAAGTCTCCCTGTAGGCTCATTCCCCTCAAGTGGCCACACTTCCGATGCACACGTGACCTCTGAGGTGTCCCTCTCACGCTGACACTTCTGTGTGAGACAATGCTTACGCCCAAGAGATATAATTTAAACAGCCTTACTTTATACACACTCAGCACTGTCTCCACTGTACACGGCTCATAAGCCGCTGCTCACATTCAGATACGCACTCTTAAACCTACTCGTTGATACGCGTGGTCACTTTGTGCTTTTACGTGTATGTCCACCCACGCGTGGCCTTTTCCTGTGTTGATGGCACTAGCCTGATGGCATGGAACCCTCCATGCAGGGTGGCTCTTTCTCTCCCTCCCCGCTCCAGCCTGGAAGCACAGATACTTGAGCCTGTGAGGGCAGGCACAGAGGTGGGGAGCCCACAAACCTGTTCTTAGGGAGGGTCCAGGACATACCTGGCCACAGGTACTGCCTCAGACTTGGTAAGCGCCGTCAACATTCACTGCCTGCCTGAGATCATGGTCAGTGTGTTAGAGGCCAGGGAGGCCACAGCTCTTCTTCCCCCTTCCCTGCACTTCAGTCCCATCTTAATAAGTCCCATCTTAGTTATGCCCTGAAGGCATACTCCTTTATCCTGTCTGCCTAAAACCCAATCCCCAGGACTCTGGACTTCTTCTGGCTTTAGGGAATGAAACGACCTTAACCTCTGAAAATAATGAAGGCCCAGAAATACTCTTAAATGATACTTTTTTTTAATGTAAGACTTCTCGGACTTTTTGAAATGCAAACGAGTGACACCCCTGTGACTCCCATCACTGGAACCTTAAATCTGTCCTAGCAAAAGCTGCCTGCTTCCAAGAAGCCAACGAATCTCTTGCAAATTAGCAAGGAGAGGCACGTAAGTGGGCTTCAGAGATGGTGTCGGTGGATTTCCCATGATGCTAAAATGCCTGTTGATAGAGAAAACTGTGTGGGAAGGCACGGGCTATTTATTCTGGTGGCCATGGCAGGTGAGTCCCTGGGCTCCTTGGGACAGCCCTGGACCCCACTGACTTCCACTGCGCTCAGCTTTTATTCTCCTGTTCCCCTCACCAGGACCAGCTCCATCTGTGGAAGCAGAAGACTGTGCTCCTTTAGTTACTGTGTGTTGGTATTGCATGTTAAGAGCAGTCCTGCTCCTGTGTCTTCAGTTATGCTCTTCCCTCCGGAATAGCTTCTCTGAGGCACCTGCCTCTTCTCTGGAGCCGGTTCCTCCTCAGAGCCCCCATCCGCTTGTTTGTGCTTCCTGTGAGATCATTCCCTCCCTCTGCCTCAGGTGAAAGTGCCCCTGAATTAGCCCTCTGGGACGTCTGAGCTGGGAGTAATGAATTTCTGTGATCTTGCATTCCATCCTTCCTTCCCCCATCCACTCCGAACTCCTTGAAAGCATCTTGCTTATAGGAGATTCTCAGAAAGCCCTGAATAATGGCTGGTCTCAGCGTGGATGTCTCATTTTGCAGAGAATGACTGAACTAAGGAGCTTTTTCCTTGCTTGGTCAGGCTTAGCATTTTTTTGCCACTCTGTTTCCTGTGCCTTGACCACTCCATGGGTTAAAGGCCAGAAGGGTTCCCTCCCCATCTTCACGTGTCACCAATAGCAGTTACACATCGCTTTGCTTGACACCTCTTCTCCTCTCTGCAGAGTCGGGGGCTGCTGTCTGTGAATTCTTTTTGAAAGCTGCCTGTGGCAAAGGTAAGAGACCCCTGGCTCCCGACATTCCCCCTGAGGCGCCCTCCACCGCCCTGTCCCGGGCAGACTCGCAGGCTCTCAGGTCCCTGGCTCACCCTGCTTTCTGCAGACTCACGGCATCCCTAGATGAAACTGTGGTCCAGATAAGCTAGGAACATGGTGGGGTGTTCTGCCTGAAACCTGGAACACAGGCCTGAATCTGGCTCTGAGTCTGCCTTCTCACCTCACTTTCTCTGCAGCCACGAGCTGACCTGTGACATGGACAGAGGCCCCTAGCCCTGAGGTGTTCAGGAACTTTCTCAAGGTCGTAGAGTCAGTGAGTGGCTGAGCCCAGGCCTTTTCTGATTCTACAGTGTACACAAGCTCACGTCCTCTGTGTACCCTCATCAAAAAACTCCGCGATAGTGTGTCTCGTGGGGTTCTTGTTATACTAACCAGGTCCCAACGCAGGCAGCATGAGCCAAACTCTCTGCTGATCCATAAGACGTACCGCTGGGTGAGACCCTACATGCCATGTACAGGTCTGGGTATTTTTCTTCCTGTAGCCAAATTTATTTGGAAACTAAATTTTAATTAGAAGCTTGAATAGGGCACACAGAATTACAGCAAGGGGATGGTTTTAATGGATGATTTGGGCAAGTTGTGGTTCTATAACTCAAGCCATTTACCCTGCCAGGTAGATCAGCCAGGTTGACCTCAGGCTCTCTGGTCGGAACATGATTCCTCTGCTGGGCTCCTGGTCTCATTCCCTTGTCTTTTGCCTTTCTGACCCACCACCTTCTGTTAGTACAGCCATCCTTAACACAGGGCACTACGACTGTTTCTGTGTTAACTAATACAGTAGCCACTAGCTCCGTGTGGCTGTTCAAATTTAATTAAATAAAAAATGCAGTTCCTCAATCACACTAGTCGTATTTCAGTTACTTAGTAGCCATGTGTGGCTGGTGGCCGCCACGTTGGACGGCATAGATAGAGAACATTCCTATCATTGCAGAAGGTTCTGTTCAGTGGGGCTGGTCTGGATCTTTCCCAGACACAACCTGATTCTGGTCAGGCCTTCCCAGTAGTCCCTCCAGGTCACCAGTTAGAAATGTGACTTTCCCAGGGTATGGCTTTGTCCTGTTTGGGTGATTGATTGCTCAGGTTCTACAGAAGGCAGACCTCCCCCAGTTTGTATACGATGCATTTTTTCAGTTCTGAAGTTGATTTCTTTCTTACTTGTTGGAAGCTAAGTGGGCACTTTTTGGGGTTTGGGGTTTTTTTTGGGGGGTATAGTTGCTCTACAGTGCTGTGTTAGTTTCTGCTGTATGGCGAAGTGAATCAGCTATATGTATATATCTATCCCCTCTTTTTTGGATTTCCTTCCCACTTAGGTCACCACAGAACACTGAGTAGAGTTCCCTGTGCTATACAGTAGGTTCTCGTTAGTTATCCGTCTGATACATAGTAGTATATATATGTCAATCCCAATTTCCCAGTTCATCCCACATCTCCTTTCCCCCCTTGGTGACCGTACGTTTATTCTCTACGTCTGTGTCTCTTTTTCTGCCTTGCAAACAGGTTCATCTGTACCATTTTTCTAAATTCCCCATATATGCGTTAATATACAGTATTTGTTTTTCTCTTTCTGACTTGCTTCACTCTGTATGGCAGTCTGTAGGTCCATCCACGTCTCTACAAGTGACCCAATTTCGGTCCTTTTTGGGCTGAGTGAGTGGGCACTTCTAACTAGGGGTAGAGCCCACGCGGAGCCCAGGCTTCTGCTGGTGGTCCTCTTTGCCTTCTGTCTTTTAGGGCTGTTTCTCAAACCCCAGTCTTTTACGACCCCTACAAATTTTGCCACGTCTGTGTATCACCGGAACTCTTCTTTAACTGAATTAAGAAAAACACTCCTCCCTTCCCCCCCACCTCCCTTAGGCTTCTTAAGTTTCCATCTTATGGAATATCTGTGGGATCATGATTTGATGTTTTAGGTTTTCCCAAGACACATTAAAATAAATCCATAACTATTGAAACTTAAAATGTGTGCTCACATGCTGCCGAAAATCACACTGCCTTCTGCCAGGGCAGCGGCCACCTTCCAGGACACGCTGCTTTCAGGGGCCGCCTGGGTCCTCACACCACACCCACCACCCCGACCCATCTTCCTCGGCAGGGGGCATGTGCCCGTTCCGCCACATCAGCGGCGAGAAGACGGTTGTGTGCAAACACTGGCTGCGGGGGCTGTGCAAGAAGGGGGACCAGTGCGAGTTCCTGCACGAGTACGACATGACCAAGATGCCCGAGTGCTACTTCTACTCGAAGTTCGGTGAGGCGCGCGGCACCCAGGCCCCCGGGAAGGGAGCCCCGGGAGGCTCCACCGAGCACCAGGACCTGGGGGTTAAGCGGCTACTCAAGTGCCTGTGACGCCTGCGACCTCAGCTGGCCCTTCAGTTATGGGCAGTTAGGGTTATTCTCTTGGAACCCCTGTGTCTTCCTAGTGCTTCTGTGTTTTGAGCACTGGCAGGTACTTTGGGAAGTCGAGGCTAACCTGGTCTCACAGGTCTCACGGTTGGTCTCACGGTGGGCGTGGGAACAGGGCAGCTGGCCGGAGGCCTTGTTTCTGCTCCAGTGGACATTCTCCCTTAAATCAGCTGCTTCGTCCGGAGTGGCAGCTGGTTGCCCCCCAGGCTTGAGTCGGTTCCTTCTCTCTGGAAGTGTGATCCTGGGTAGTAGCTTGTCTGTCCTAAATACCCCTTAAGAATAGCTGCTCCAGGGCTGTCTTCTGGTGGCAAAGAACCGTCCTCTTAACCTTGAAAGTGAGATTGTCTTTGTTTCTGCTTAGAGGACACATGGCCTTAGCTGAACTGAGTGAACTGTGTGGAGAAGCCAGGGCGGTGGGGCTGGCACAGGGCCCGGTGGAGCTGATGTGCTCCGTGATGGAACTAGACTCCCCTGCCTGTGCCCTGGGCGAGGCTGCCCAGGAAGAAGCCCTGTTGGTCAGGATGAGGGTGGGCGCTGGCCCCAGGACTGCCAGCTTCAGGCCCCGGGCAGGAGCCGGCAGGAGGCTGGAAGCCTGCTACACTCTTTGTGACGGGCCGAGGAACGCTGGGCGTGCGGCATGCTTTCAGAGCACTGTTGTCAGAGGAGACGCTAATTATTTCAGCAGCCCAACAGGCTTGGCCTGCTGGCTTGTTAATGATTGTTGTGGCTTTTTTTTGTAGAGGCAACATAAGCTGAGAAGTCAAAGCACAGATAGATAGGAAACAGGACTCAGCTTCCCAGCTCCCCACCCTCTCCGTCCCCCGCAGCAGCATGGGAACCAGTAGTGGAAGGGGCAGCAGCTTCTCCATGGGAGCCGTCTCCCATCTGGCCCCAAAGGCAGGAGCCAGCCCTCCTGGGTGGACTCCCGGGGGCACCTCTGCAAGCTGGCTTGGGTTCCCACCTTCCCTGCTGATGGCCCTGGGCCCCGCTGCCCTCCAGGCCTCTGTGACGACTGGCTGCCTGCACTTCCCCTGCAGAGTCTGTCCTGGTGCAGACGCACTGTCTGCAGCTCCTGACACTATTCCACAGGTGAGGGTCCCCCTTCTAGGCACCGGAGGGACAGTGGTAAAGAGGACAGACGCCGTCCTTAACCCGTGGTGCTTTTACTCCAGTGGCCCAGGGGAAGAAGCAGCTGATTCACCAGTAAGACAGAGAATTCACTGTAAGTGCTCTGAAAGAGACAAACAGTCACCTGAGGAGATCTTGAGGCAGTGTGGTCAGGGACAGCCTCTCTGAGGAGGGGAGACCTGGGCTGGGGGCCAAAGGCTAAGAAGAACCCCTGGGAGGCCAGTGTGGCTGGGAAGGGACTGGTCTAGACCCCATAGGGACTTGTGGGTCTGGGAAGGAGTGTGCTCTGAACAGCAGTGATTAGACTGGCCTTTTGTGTGTAAATGGACTGAAGGCAGTGCAGCTGCCCAGATCGGCAGTGCCTGTACTTGGCTGAAAGATGCTGGTGGCCAGCTGGGCCTGTTCCTCCTGAGAGGAGCTGTCATAAAGGCTTTATCACATTCTACCGTAGGGACCCAGCTGTGAGTTCCCAAATCTTCCCCACTTTTATCGTAAAAGGTGGAGTCCTCAGGCCTTTCCCCTGTCCCATCAGAGCTCATCAGAGTGGAACGGTAATTTGCTACTGGTCTCAACTGATGTGTTTTCACATCTGGGCCCCCCACATTGCCAACACCTCTTTTGGGTGAGGGGTGGAGCCGTGAGTTGTTTAATGAGTGTGTACCCTGTGCCCGCCTCTGTCAGTGTCATTGACCCTCAAGGCAGCACGGACATCTGTGAGGGAAGGACCGTCACAGCCCACGTACGAGTCAGGTTACTGAGGCTCTGAGACACCCTGCCCTAGGTCTCAGGGCTCGCCGGGCCGGGACTGGACACCAGACCCACCTGGCCCTCTTTGCTGTACCGTGGCCCCGGCCACAGGAGAAGTATGGGTGGGTCTGGGTCCAGCTCTCCCAGGTGGACGCATGTCTGGTCTTCCCTGCAGGGGAGTGCAGCAACAAGGAGTGCCCCTTCCTGCACATCGACCCCGAGTCCAAGATCAAGGACTGTCCTTGGTACGACCGTGGCTTCTGCAAGCATGGTAGGTGTCTGGGTGGCTGGGCTGCCTGGTCAGAAGCCAGTCCTCCCTCCCCATGCCCACATGACCCTCTGCTTGTCCTGCCTTTTCCTGCAAAACGTGGTGTTACGCATTGAGGGGCTAGTGAGTCTTTTTCACACCAAGTCACTTGAGCCTCCCCAGGTTCCCATTGGACCGCATTCTCACCCGTATTTCTGATGAGGAAACTAGTGTTTGAGAGGGTGTGTACCCTGCCCGCTGGCCTACTGAATAGGAGGCAGAGCCAGCACTGGAAGCCCTGTTCTTGCTTTCTGCCCCCAGGCAGCAGTGTGGGCAGAGCTCTGATTGGCAGAAGGGCATGAGGGCATCCCCTGAAGAGGGGACAATCTGAGTGACCCTGGTGCTTGGCTCCACAGGCCCCCTGTGCAGGCACCGGCACACGCGGAGAGTCATCTGTGTGAATTACCTCGTGGGATTCTGCCCGGAGGGGCCCTCGTGTAAATTCATGCAGTGAGTAGCCAGCCCCTGCCCAGGCCCTGCTGCCCCCTGTATCTCCCCTGAGTCCATCGGGGCTTTGGTCACTGGGTAGTGTCAGCACAGGGTCTGGGACAGGGGTGGGAGATGGGGAGGGACCACCACTGCTTCCTGAACGGAGGTGGCTCTGCCTAAAGCAGGGTAACCTTTACTGTGTCCCAGGCCATCTAGGACTCAGATGAAAGCTATGGGCCCTGTGCTCCAGAAAAGCTCATGCACATGTGACCTCAGATTAAGAACCTGTGCCCTGAAGGAAGGGAGCTTCAGTTTCGGGGCCTTCTATATGGAGGTTCATAGAACCCTCACACATGAAAGGATGTCCCCATTTCACACATGGGGACACTGGGGCTCGGAGCTCAGCCGATGGCAAGGGGCAGGTGGTAGCTCCCGGTCAAAGGCAGATCTGTGACCTCTGGAGCCCAGTCCTTGCGCGGGAGGGCTCAGCGCTCCTCTCCTGGGTCTTGGTGCACCTCTGTCACTTTGGGTGGTTGTGGGGTGGCACTGGGACCGTAGAGTAGTGTCCCCCCGATGCCCTGTGCTGCCTCCATGCTGCTGACACCTGCACGGAAGCAGAGTGTCCTGGTCGCTGCCACGTGGCCGGCAGGTAGCTGGTGCTCCTGACTTGGTCCCGCTCCCTAGATGAGAGCCTAGGAGCCTACAGGTGGCCCAGGATTCCTCCGTGTGGGGTGGTGGTGGAGGGCGTGTCCCCCAGACCTCTGCTGTCAGAGGTCTAACACTTGAGGTTGCCCCTGCAGGGAAGGGTGTTTGTTGGGAAGGCCTTCTGTGTACACAGTGCCTCTGGAGAGGCTCTGACAGTACCAGCTGTGTTTCCCTCCTTTCTCTGAGCAGCACACTTGCCCAGGCTCGCAGCCAGGTGTAGGCAAAGCTGGGTGTGAGTCCAGGCACATCGGACCTGTCTTCCGCACCATCCCGAGCACCAGCACCCGCCCTATGTCCAGGTGGCTCGTGTGGCTCTGTGCTTAGCTAGAGGCTGCTTGTGATTTTCCCGGGGCCAGAACTCGAGAACCCCACCAGCCTAGCTGCTCTCTCACCTCCTCTTCTCCTTTTTCCTGTCCCCTTCTGCCGCTGGGTAACCAGCCCTAGATTTGAACTGCCGATGGGAACCACCGAGCAGCCCCCACTGCCGCAGCAGACGCAGCCTCCCGCAAAGGTACCGTGCCCCGGGCCCGCGGTGCTGCCGGGCCTGGCCGCGCCCTGGCTGCAGAACGCTCAATGCCCCCGCCTCAGTGCGGGGCCTGCCGGAGACCCGGCTAGAGATCGTGGGAGGAGGCGGGAGAGGAGGGGAGTCACCCTGGTTCCTGCCGAAACTCCAGGGAGCGGAGCAGTCTGCACCTTCTCTGGGCTGGAGGGCTGTCTGCTGGAGCCAGACCCCCACCGGGCTTCTCTTCCCTTCTTGCCTGGCGAGTGCAGGGCGGCGTGGGCGCCACATATCTGCCGTTCTTGCTTGCGGTTCAGACCCTTCTCTCTACAAACGGGACTCCCAGCGGGGCGGGAGAGGAAGTGTGGCTGACTGGTTCTCTGGCTGGTGCCCGACTGCAGGGGGGATGCTGGGAACAGATGGTCGAGGCATCAGCTGGCTCCAGTCTCCTAAGCGAGGGGATCCCACACCCCAGCAGTGGGCTGCTCCCCTCCAGCATGAGGAGAGGGAAATGCCATAAACGAATGGGAATCTGCAGCAGTGACCCCCAACCAAAGGCGCCTTGGGTTTGGTTACAAGATGCGGGCGGGGGCCCAGAGGGAGGCTGGCCAGGTGTCCTAGGCAGGGTCTCAGCGGGCTGAGCAAACTGCCCACCATTCGTGAAGCCTCACCTCTTACCTGGTTGGACTCTGAGCCCTTTGCCAGAGCCTGCCTGGCCCTCCTCCATGCCAGAGGCCGAGCAGCCAGGAGGAGATGTGGCCACCCTTGCAGCACTGCCTGCCACCTTCAGGAGGATGTGGGATGAACCAAAGAGAACTCCTGTCAGAGCCGGG